GTTTAAATAGGTATACAAAACTGGAAATAGGCTAAGTAAACATGTATAATATATAACCAAATAAATAAGAAACGTAGAAAGTTTATTAGCAAAATGAGTAAGAAAGCTTACACCTTGATGTCAAATAAAATAATAAATGACACAAAGTTTAAATAAAGTAAAAATCAGCAAACAATGTGGAACCAATTAAATAAAAAACTAATACTTAAAAAAACTTCCAAAATCACCTTAGAAAAACGGCAAAAGTCAACAGGCTTTTCAAAATCCAAAATATTGCCAAACAGGTGCTTTTGCGTCTCGTTTCGAAACTAAATCATCCGCCATCGTCTTGTCTGTCTCACCTCACCTCACTCTTCTTGTCAGTCAGCTCGACTCACTCTCCTCACTGGATAATTTAAATCTGATCTGTGATGCGACTGTCGTTTCGGCATGCTGCATTGAGCAGCCGCGTTCAGTTTTTAATTGTAGTGTCTGTTCTTTAACTGAACTAAATGATTTTTATTACTATAAAAAATCAAAACGACAGAGGGGGTCAGTGCCGCGGTGGGCAAGTGACATAACCGGTGTTGCGGCTTAACACCGGTATCACCGTCAGCACCGTCTATCGCGGCAAGCCTAGGCTGAAGCAACTGTGGTTTCTTAGCAGGCATGTCAGTCACTGTGCAACAATCTGATTGAGCAATGCTTCATTCCTCTTGAGGTGTCTGGGTTTGTTTGGCCATGCAATGAGACAGTCTTGCAAGAGTCACACGTAACAGCAGGACACAGTCTCAGAGAGACAATGCTGATCGTTGTGTAATAGTACCGATTGGTATTTAGCGAAGCTGATTTCTTGATATCATCAAGATGTTTGATATTTTGGAGCAAAAGCACTTGGCATCAGTAAAGCTGCACTCAGTTGCCTAAGAATGTCTGTGTGTCATTGTTTACCCACATTGTGAGTCTGCTGTTGGTATATTGCTTGGGGCATGAAAATAATTACCATCACTGCATATTCCATTACTTCATTTCACCAGTCATGTCATAAGCAATAATAATCACACCGACTGACCATATCACCCATGTGAGACTGGAAGTCGAAGCGCATTGGAGGGCAGAAGACGTTGTTGTAGGTCTCCATGAGCCTTTGCTTGTCTGCGTTGGCCTCCAAGTTCTCTGCAGCGTTCTCAATGGTCTCTAAACCACTGTGCTTGGAAGTCTCCACGTTAAACTCGGCCGAGAGGTAGGTACGCAGTGCACGGTTCAGGCTGGCATGGTAGCCCAGGTCACAGCACTGAGAGAGGGGAAAAAAGGGGGGCATTTGGTTGGTATTTTGAGCTGTGAATGTAAAAGCTGTGAATTGAGAAAGGCATTAAAATCCAGAGTAAAGCACAACATCTGTGAAATTGTAAGTGACTTTCATTCAAAGGAACTTAAAGTACTTTTTATTAGTACTAAAAATAAAATAATTAGTGATAAAATAATAATAAAAATAGTCTGCCCTCTGTACTCCCCCTGAAACCCATTTTCCTATTAACCCATGCATGGTTAAAACTTCACTTCCATGCTCTGATTGCTTCAAATGAAGACCACTCAAACTAAATCCATCATTCACAGTTCCTCACTCAGAAAGAGGACGCCATGTTGCGTGGGCCCCTGTGTGCTGAAGTTAAGGGTAATACGGGGAGGAGATTTCAGCACTTTGTGGGTGCCTTATAAGGAGTCTGATGTTGATTTTGTGGGACAACTGGGCCCTCTTGCGGAGCTCACACGAGGGGCTGCTACAAGTTTACCTTCAGGGTCACACTTGAAGAAAGAAGGCTGATGAGGCAGCATACTGTCAGAAGGTGTTACTACATTGTGGGACACTGTACATGGGCATATTTAGGGCATTACACTTAAACGCCCTTTTAGGGCTGCACAGTATACACTGCAAATAAAAAAAGTACAGGGGTACGAAAAAGTTTGCCAGTGCTCACATGACAAGAAGGATAATGGGCTGTTTAACAAATTCTTAATGGTGGAATTTAATTACTTAATGATTATATTTTTATGCAAAAATGAATGAGATGACCATCATACGACAGCTAAAAAAAAACTTTTTTTAAATTATTGAATTACAGAAGAAAAGTTTTGTGAGAACTGTTAAAAAGGACTTCATCAAAATGTTCATCAAAATTAAAATGTTAAGATTAATCACAAATTATTTACATACTGACAGTCCTAGTTTCATTTCATCAGCTGCCCTGAGCTTGCAATCTATACTGATACACCTGGCATTGTAAGTTTTAAAAACCCTTAGATCAAACCAGTTCAAACCAGTGTTGTTAAACTAAAACAATGAAAAATATAGTAAAATCATACTGAAGATACTAAGAACTAAAAATATTACAATTTATACATATATAAAGCTAGAAAAAATTACAAAAGCACTAATAGAAGCTCATTTTATGAATGAAAATATAAATCCACAAATAATACTAAAATAACATTGGTTTAAACAAGTTAAGCTTGACTGCATTATAACATCAAATGTGACCCTGTTCCACAAAACATCATAAGTAGCATGACTACATTTGTAGCAATAGCCAACGATACATTGTATGGTTCAAAATTAGCGATTTATGCCAAAAATCATTAGGATATTAAGTAAAGATCATGTTACATGAAGATATTTAGTAAATGTCCTACCGTAAATATATCAAAACGTAATTTTTGATTAGTAATACGCATGGCTAAGAACTTAATTTGGACAATTTTAAAGGCAATTTTCTCAATATTTAGATTTTTTTGCACCCTCAGATTCTAGATTTTCAATTTGTTGTATCTCAGCCAAATATTGTCCTATCCTAACAAACCATGCATCAATGGAAAGCTTATTAGCTTATAAGCTTTCGGATGATCTCAGTTTAAAAAAATTTACTTGTTTTGTGGTCCAGGGTCACAAATATCAAAAGCTTTAAGAAGGAATATTTGTGATTTAGCTACAAAAAACAGTGTTGTAAACATTTCTCTATAACAGTACACTAGAAACACATGACGATTCCTGAACTGGCTCTTTGGAGTGATGAGATAAAGGTGGACTTACATCTATGAGGTCAGACAGATCATGGATGTAGTATTTGAAGACACAGTTGTTGGTGGCCTCCAGAGCCAGAAGGTACTCATTCCTGGCCTTGTTGGCTTTCAGCTTGTTCTGAGTGTATTTTGCTTGCCGCTAAGAAAAAAAAAAAGTAAAACCAGGAGGATGAGACAATGGTTGAGAAACGGACAGATATTTTTTTTCACAGTTCATAACGAACACAGGCTTTAAATGTCAGTGTTTACTACTGTCACGCAACAAAACGTCTTAAAGTCAAGCATAAAGTCATAGAAGTATGGGGAAAAACATCTGTTTTAAAATTTTTGTGTAAAAACAAAAGTTTGGAATAGCATGAGGGTAGGTAAATAATGACAGACTTCTTTTTGAGTGAACAAAACCTTTAAAGCTTACGTTAAACATGAGCTCATGATGGATGGCATGTTGTTTAACTTCTACTAGCCCTCCCTAAATAGGCTCATGTTAGAGCTGCCACCACAAACTGTACTACATTTCCATCTGTAAATGCTGCTGGGGTGACCACAGGCACTCTCTAGTGGGACACACATAGAGGAGCTGCTGTTGGTCTTGTGGAAACAGAGGTGGCCCTGGAACAACCCAGCGATGATCCCATCAATCATTTCGTAAGATAAGCTCTTTGCAATGTCATCATTAATAGGAAACACTTACAGGAGGAATTTGGCAAACATATATGTGGGCGGCTCTCAATGGCCTTTTCTTGCTCTTGTAAAGTGCAAAGAAGCGTCAGGCTCTTTTCCAGTTTTTAAAGGAAAAGTTCACCCAAAATGTATCACAGAAGGAAGTTTTGGATCGACAGAAGGGTGAGTAAATGATGACAGAATATTCATTTTTGGGTGAACTACTGAACAAGCCACCGTTGAGCTTATAAAAAAAAGAACGCTAAAGATTTTGAAGAGGAAACTCAGTTCATCACGTTTTTCACCATTTTCGGCCCTATGGGGTTCCTCTCTGATCCAAAAGGCTGAGATAATCATCATCAGCTTTTCCATTCATTCTTTCCTTTCTTCATATAAAGCACAGATGTCACTAAAAATGGTGCCAGGTTTATTTTCATCATCCTTAACTCTTTCATTAAAGGATCTGCTTACTTTTTATGGGGTATTGAAATGGGTTACAGTCATTTCCCAGGAGAACATGTGTGGATGTGTACGGGGGAGAATCTAGTCGCCATTCAAAGAAAGCCAATATCATGGGTCCTCCTCCTACCACATTTGAGCCCAGAACACCCCACCCTGAAAACCCTAAACTATTCCTTCCTCCCCCACAAAAATGAGGAATACAAAAATATGTGGCCAAACACAAAGGGCATTTCTAATTGAATTTCTTCTCCCAGTAAAAATAAAAGCTTGAAATTATTAGCATTATTTAGCTGCGGCACTAGGCATATATGCATGGAAGCCTTGTGCAATACTGTGCTGTGTATCAGAAAGCAGCACTCCCCTAATACAGCAGGATAATAACATGACTTGCAATCCACTGAATCATCCCTGAATTTTCCATGCACCACTGCTAATTTCGGCACTGCCGGGGATCATGGGTCTCTGCGGTGGTATGGATACTGCAACGCTAAGTCTATAAAACAGTAATCATACTGCCACTGAGGGTTAAAACTGAGGTTAACTGCCATTGAAGGTTTTTTCGTTCTAAAATGTAAACACTGAAGGAGTTCCCGATAAGCCACTTTCCATAAATAGGGTACATGTTGGTCTCCCACTTCTCCACTACTTTTAATAAAGCATAAAAGGCACAAATCTCATGTTGTTATAGTGACATAATTAGATGTTATGTAAATCATCACTTAAAATTAACATAGTATCAAAATGAGCTAGCATTAAACACATTACTGTCTGTATTCATCTAGCTAAACCATTCAACCCTGTTACCAATCTTATTGTAAAAAAAAAAATTATCAAGCAAATTTATGGAACTTATTTATTTTACATTTGGTCTATCTGATTTCAATAATATAATATAATATAATATAATATAATTAGATTGTCTTCCTGAGGTTGGCAATCAACATTCATCTCCATTTATTATTAACTATAAACGAACAGTTTTTGTTAACCGTTTCATTAACAGATGAAGTAAAATAAAAAATAAATATTACATGAAAAAAAAACATGACTGAAACTACATCTGAAATAAAATGAATGACGCTAAATAGAAATATGGGTAACACTTTACAATAAGGTGTCATTTGTTAACATTAGTTAATGTATTAACTAACATGAACGAACAATTAACAATACATTTATTACACTTTTATTACACTTTTATTACGCTTTTATTACACATTTGATAATCTTTGTTTATTAATGTTAGTTAATAAAAATACAGTCGTTCATTGTTTGTTCATGTTAGCTCACAGTGCATTATCTAATGTTAACAAACACAACTTGTGATTTTAATAATGCATTAGTAAATAGGAAAAATAAATAAATAAAAAAGGTAATTTTGACTTTTTATCTCACATTTTTGTGTGCAAGATTTCTAATTGCAACAAACTCAATTTCCAATATTTTTGAGTTAATATCTCTAAATTCTGACTTTTTTCATCAGAATTGCAAGAAAAAAGGTCTGAATTGTGAGGTATAAACTCAGAATTGCAAGACAAAATGATGAATTATAAGATAAAAGGTTGTAATTAATTACCTTTTTTTTAATCAAGCTTTCAATCAAGCTTCCATATAAACGGCAGTACAAACAATTTAGCATAATTAACTATAAATATTTTTCAGCATGACTCTGATTTTGGCGTATGTGTCATGGTGTTTCTTCTTTTTTTTAAATAAGGATCACGTGTCAAGAATACATGTGGCAAGAACTGGGCTGAAAGAGGAGAACACAGTTATTCACATAACAACCAACTCAAAAAACAGGCCCAAAATCATTCACACAAATGCTTTTTACTCACAGTCAGGCATGCAATACCTTTTTAGCTCAATGTGTTTGTATAGGCAGAGAGGCAACGGGACAATGACTTTCCATCACAGGGACTAAAACTCTAGCAGAGCCGCTTTGCTGAAAGTTTGATGAAAACATCCTGAACACTTCCAGAAAACAAAACTTCCTTCTAAAATGGTCAATCATGTAAATGTAGATGCAAAAACACCTCATTCCGAAGTTTCTTACAATAGCTAATTGAATACATTAACAATTTCACATCAAAAAATTATTCTGTGTTCAATTCTTAAACACCAGAAAAAGAAACAAGAGTAAAATGTGGGAAAGTTGTTATATATAGGCCTATAATGTGTTATATAAATACTAAAATAGATTAAATAAATAAGAAATTATTATTTATTACTATTCCATAAAATAAAATTACAAACATTACAAATCGCAAGGAACATCTACAATTTTATGACCTCTATAAAGAGCAGTTTATGTCTAAGTCCAATGAGAGGCTATGGTGAAAGATCTGTCATCTGTGACTGTTGCCAATGAATGGAAGACACCACCAAGCTTAATAGTTAGTATTCAGCAGATGCTAAATTTGGGAATGGGATTGAAGGGAGGATCTCATTCCAAACGTCTGCTCCTTTGAGAGGAATGTCACAGAGTGACGCCATTCTTGTGCTTGCAATCAAAAACACTGCCAAGACCGGAGAGATGATACCAAGCCATCGCTCGCTGTCTGTGAGAGAGAAAGCTAATGGACTCCATTTCCCTCCATTTACACTGGCTTTCATGAGGGTGTCAGCCTCCATGATGGGCATAATAAATTTAATAAGCTCTTTGCAATGTCATCATTAATAGGAAACACTTACAGGAGGAATTTGGCAAACATATATGTGGGCGGCTCTCAATGGCCTTTTCTTGCTCTTGTAAAGTGCAAAGAAGCGTCAGGCTCTTTTCCAGTTTTTAAAGGAAAAGTTCACCCAAAATGTATCACAGAAGGAAGTTTTGGATCGACAGAAGGGTGAGTAAATGATGACAGAATATTCATTTTTGGGTGAACTACTGAACAAGCCACCGTTGAGCTTATAAAAAAAAGAACGCTAAAGATTTTGAAGAGGAAACTCAGTTCATCACGTTTTTCACCATTTTCGGCCCTATGGGGTTCCTCTCTGATCCAAAAGGCTGAGATAATCATCATCAGCTTTTCCATTCATTCTTTCCTTTCTTCATATAAAGCACAGATGTCACTAAAAATGGTGCCAGGTTTATTTTCATCATCCTTAACTCTTTCATTAAAGGATCTGCTTACTTTTTATGGGGTATTGAAATGGGTTACAGTCATTTCCCAGGAGAACATGTGTGGATGTGTACGGGGGAGAATCTAGTCGCCATTCAAAGAAAGCCAATATCATGGGTCCTCCTCCTACCACATTTGAGCCCAGAACACCCCACCCTGAAAACCCTAAACTATTCCTTCCTCCCCCACAAAAATGAGGAATACAAAAATATGTGGCCAAACACAAAGGGCATTTCTAATTGAATTTCTTCTCCCAGTAAAAATAAAAGCTTGAAATTATTAGCATTATTTAGCTGCGGCACTAGGCATATATGCATGGAAGCCTTGTGCAATACTGTGCTGTGTATCAGAAAGCAGCACTCCCCTAATACAGCAGGATAATAACATGACTTGCAATCCACTGAATCATCCCTGAATTTTCCATGCACCACTGCTAATTTCGGCACTGCCGGGGATCATGGGTCTCTGCGGTGGTATGGATACTGCAACGCTAAGTCTATAAAACAGTAATCATACTGCCACTGAGGGTTAAAACTGAGGTTAACTGCCATTGAAGGTTTTTTCGTTCTAAAATGTAAACACTGAAGGAGTTCCCGATAAGCCACTTTCCATAAATAGGGTACATGTTGGTCTCCCACTTCTCCACTACTTTTAATAAAGCATAAAAGGCACAAATCTCATGTTGTTATAGTGACATAATTAGATGTTATGTAAATCATCACTTAAAATTAACATAGTATCAAAATGAGCTAGCATTAAACACATTACTGTCTGTATTCATCTAGCTAAACCATTCAACCCTGTTACCAATCTTATTGTAAAAAAAAAAATTATCAAGCAAATTTATGGAACTTATTTATTTTACATTTGGTCTATCTGATTTCAATAATATAATATAATATAATATAATATAATTAGATTGTCTTCCTGAGGTTGGCAATCAACATTCATCTCCATTTATTATTAACTATAAACGAACAGTTTTTGTTAACCGTTTCATTAACAGATGAAGTAAAATAAAAAATAAATATTACATGAAAAAAAAACATGACTGAAACTACATCTGAAATAAAATGAATGACGCTAAATAGAAATATGGGTAACACTTTACAATAAGGTGTCATTTGTTAACATTAGTTAATGTATTAACTAACATGAACGAACAATTAACAATACATTTATTACACTTTTATTACACTTTTATTACGCTTTTATTACACATTTGATAATCTTTGTTTATTAATGTTAGTTAATAAAAATACAGTCGTTCATTGTTTGTTCATGTTAGCTCACAGTGCATTATCTAATGTTAACAAACACAACTTGTGATTTTAATAATGCATTAGTAAATGCTGAAATTAACATTAAACAAAAACAATAAAAAAGACAAAAGCACCTAACAAGCAGTCAGTCTGCATGCCAGCAGGTAAGATTCACTGCTGACTGACGACTATAATTACCATCATTCACTCCTTGTTCATACCCCCTGTCTTACTAAGAAATTACAAGGACTGCCTGGTAAGACATTGTTTTGTTCACATACACACAAACCCATTTCAAGGCACATAAACATTAAACGGTTCCTTCTACGCCATTTGGAAACAACAATTCGCACACACCCTGTAACACAACCACACACAGGGGGGCACACAGTGACTAAAAGCTCTCAAAATATTTTCAACAAGAAGAAAAAGTAACTATAGCCAACCCCACGCCTCAAAAATACTGATTGGACTACAACCACAAGAGACCAAAATAACCACTCGACTGAAGCAGAGACTCGATGCCTCATCAGTGCAGAAGGCTGACGCAGAGGAATCAAAGATATTAAGAGAAAGAAACGAAGGATTCATGTGCACTGTTTGAAAACTGAAAGTGACAAACAGATAATGAAACATGGAAAAACTGAATAAAGATGATAGCCTCAGATTTAGTGCTGAAAATAAAGTTATGCTCGACTATGCTGTTTGCATCTTACCGTATACAACTCATTGAGGACCTTCATCAAATCCTCGTGCAGCTGGAGGCCCACTTCTTTACTCTGTAAGAAAAAAAAAAAAAAAAACATTAGTATAAAACAATAATGGTGTAGATCATGATTAACAGTATTTTCCTGTTCTCTATTACAACTGATAATCCGTTTTGGGCTTTGAGCCCTGAAGCTGTCACTGTTGAACTGTTTTCTGCTCTTTCAGTAATGGAGGTCATCACCAGCTTACTCAAACACATCTAGTTCAATACAATCTCACCCAAATGGTCACATTATACTGGAACACTGCACACTGGGCCAGATTAACCATTCAGGCATTTGGGCACATCAAAAACGGGGCCGTACAAAGAGTTTTCAAATGGCGCACAATGGCCAAAGCCTCTTTTTCTGCTTGTATATTCTGTTTCAGTTGTAAATATGTCATATTATGGAAATAAAATGGGTTGAAACATCAATTTATTTATGACTTTAAAGGGAAAGTTCTACCCCAAAAATTCTGAGAGAACTATCCCTTTAAGTCACTATAGCGTTGCTACATTCAGTTACAATAGTTCCGCTTGCGCACTTATCTAAAGGTTAAACTTCTGTTTGAGCCGTGTAAGAAAACTGAAGTGTACAGACAATGCAAAAGTATTGGATTTCAGTTCAGTGTCAATCACTTACAATGAATGTCAAAAAGTGTGCAGCTGAACTGAAACTGGAAATGCTTACTTGTGATTTTGATAAGACTTCCTCTTAGAGACTGTGGAAAAAAAAGGTCTGGTAAACTCTGTGTGAAATGGAAATGGTGGTTTGCTGTTCTGGTGGATGTTGGATCTTGTAAGAGGAAGTTCGGGAATGAAGGCACAGCATGACATGAAAATGAAGTGCTTGCGAATTCAAGTCCAAACTTCAATCGCTGTGGGCTGATAACTTGGGAGCCGGCCAAGAAGATGTCTAGCATTCACTGAGGGCTTTAGATCATTTTTTTAGATCGGCCTTTTAGAGACCGCCGATCAATCATCCCAACGTGATTATCGGCCGATAGTGATCGGTAGCCGATCAATCGGAGCACCCCTAAATATTTCACTGCCAAAACTTCTCTTTCTCTGCTTTTAAGAGTGTTTTCCTTTATTGTGTGTCTACGCTTATGGTTCAATAAAGTCGTAAACCTCCTCCGGACACAGCTCCCTTGACTGTATTTGCATTTAGAGTGCAGAATTTCTCCAGCATGTTGTAGCACTTTTAAGACAGGTGGGAGGTGTGTGGCGCTGGGACGTTAGGTAAGATCAATTGCACAGTCTTCAGCGATTCCTAGGAAGCCTCTAGAGAGAGGCCGGCTGGGAGCGTTCAATTAAAGGACTGGTATTCCTGCAGCACGGAGGGCCGGGTGAGCTAAACTATAGAAGAGAGAGACAGAAAGAGTTGACGATAATGTTGATAGGAAGGCTCATCTCTCTCTCTCTCTCTCTCTCTCGTTCAATTAAAATACTGTTATTTCTGCAGCATGGAGAGTCGGGTGAGCTAAACTACAGAAGAGAGAGACAGAGAGAGTTGAGGAGAATGTTGATAGGGAGGCTCATCTCTCTCTCTCACGGGAACGAAAGAACAGACAGAGAGACAGCGGGAGAGAAAGAAGTGCTGATTGGGGTCTGAGAGACTCTTGCCGCTAGATATGCAGAGGAAAAAAAAAAAGATTTAAGATTGAGGCGAGTCCAAATTTCAATACACCTTAAATTAGGCATAGCTACCGGCTTTACTGACGAGATGCGCATGACAATCGCATGCGATTCATTATAGAATTATATTAATTATTAATTATATTAATTATAGCTGAGAACTCTGACTATATCACAAGAGGTCTTATCAAATAAACATCAAAAAGTATCAAAACACACTGCTCAACTGATGGGTTGATGGGAGACTTATAAATTGTAGTTCACCCAAAAATGAAAATTCTCTCATCATCAACTAAATGGTTTCTGGTCCCCATTGACTTCCATAGCAATTTTTCCATACTACGGAAGTCAGTGGGGACCAACAACTGCTTGGGCAACCACATTCCTCAAAATACCTTCTTTTATGTTCAACGGAAGACAGAAATTTATACAGGTTTGGAACAACAAGAAGGTGAGTAAATGATTACAGAATTTTTCATTTTTGGAGGTTCCTTCATCCTCTGAATAACTAAAGCTGGATTTGACCTTAAACAGACCAGATTGAACTGGTTTCACCTGGATAACCAATGGACACTGGAAATGTGTTGATAAGAAAGCGTCTCTTTCACAGCTCTGGGTCTAGATAGTGAGCGACCTGAATTCCTGCCTGTCTAACCAGTCTAGACCAAAGGTCCCCAACCACCAGCCCGTCCAGCCGGTCTGAGAGACAATTTTCCAAACGTAACCGGTCCGTGGTGTAAAAAAAAAGGTTGGAGACCCCTGGTCTAGACAAGCCAAGAGGAATGAAACGAAACACCAAAGGCATGATGCTCTCTTGCATCTATCAGCTCTTCGATTCTAATCATCTCACTATCAGTTTTAATGAGCATAAACATGCATAAGAACCCACAGAAGATTACTGTTAACAAATTAATTTTACTATCCCTAATTAAAATAAATTTGATCATATATTAGAAATAAAATTAAATAATTACAATAATAATCAAATCAGAATAGTCAAATTAGGTCAAAACTGGTACATCAGTGAGGAGAGAGGGATTATCAATTGAACTGAGAAGCAAATAAAAAATGAGGTCCCAATCTCAATGACCACTACAGAGGCTTTAACAGAGAAATCGACTGGTATGCAAAGACGAATGTCACCTTTTTGAAGAGGCGTCCTGAGTCCTCGCTGACCTGGGCGAAGCGTGGGATGATGTTGTTGAGGTATGAAAGATTGCTCTGATCTGTCACATATTAGGAGTTAAACGGATCGCAGTTGATACGTAATACGTACAGATGAGACCCCACTGTTCGGCACGCACGTGATTCACAGATTCATTTGCCAATTTACATGTACAAGCAATTTTAAACCACAAGTGAGAAGCAAATAAAAAATGAGGTCCCAATCTCAATGACCACTACAGAGGCTTTAACAGAGAAATCGACTGGTATGCAAAGACGAATGTCACCTTTTTGAAGAGGCGTCCTGAGTCCTCGCTGACCTGGGCGAAGCGTGGGATGATGTTGTTGAGGTAGAGATCGCTGAGAGTGGCGTGGTCTCGACTCTCTCTCTTCACCTGAGCCAAGAGAAGGTTCCAGCAGTTGACTGGAGACAGGACATTTTGCTCTTTCCTGCAGAGAAGAGTAAAGAAAAAACACATTTATTATAATTTATAATACAAGAGAGCAGAAGAATCAGTTAGAAAAAGCTATTTAAAAAAAATACATAATATAAAAATACATTTGCAGTAATTGCAAAATAGCTGCAAAACAACTGACAAACAATTCAATCACAATACATAATCAAAAGGAATCAGAGGAATCCATCTGAACATAACCAAATGATTCAGCCAAATAATTTCAAGCCAAATAGATTTTAAAAATGTTATATAAGGAGTAAATTCTAAATTAATTTTTAAAATAATAATGGTGTGTTTTCCCACACAATTTTTATATAGAAAACGAGGACATAAACATTTTTGATGACGCAAATGAATCGTTATATCACATTGTGTATATATATATATATATATATATATACATTAAATCACAAGAAGAAGAAACGAAAGAGAGCTCAATTCGTTACTCACGCGCTGTTCTCGCACACAATCAAAGCGCGCACAAGAGACGTGTTTCAGACAGCGCGGAGATACCGAGTTGCGTATACACATACACATAAAATTAGCCTATGTCAAAACCCTTCACGGCATTGTCATTCTCTGTGCTTTAAATATTTTTTTTCTTGCTTATCCGAAAAAATAGTCTGATCTGTGACTAAAAAAAAACACAATATAATGCGTTGAACCACTATGTAATGCTATTATAATACTATATAATAGCCTAATATATATATATATATATATATATATATATATATATATATATATATACACAATATATATATACACACACACACACACACACACACACACACACACACACACACACACACACACAGTATTCAGTAATATATCAATAATACATCTGAAACTATCTTGCTTGTTATAAAATGTACAGTATTTTGATATTTATTTAGCAATTTTGGGCCATTAAGTTTCCTGAAGATGACTATATATTATAGTGACTATATACAGTATTAATATGCAAAAAGTCTCATCGCCATCAGTCATTCAAACAGCCAACTGTTTTTGAAAACTAATGACTTCAGATCACTTTGCCGCTACAAATCACTGTGAACAACATTTGAGACACCAGGTTTGAGACACTCAGTCATCATTACAGATAAATCAGCTCAAAAAACCCTCTGGACTCCTGCTCTGATAGGGAATGTGCCCAGGATGTTAAAGGTTACTCTAAACTCATACAGTCCTGGTATGGTTAAGAAGGGTACACATGCATACAGATCCGTCCTGACAAACCTGTTGCCCTATATGTGAAGTTCACTCATGGATTACAGAGCAATGGATGTCACGCCAAAGAGGAATTCTGTTAAGCCCTGCGTTACTCTGGGCACATGCTGGAGGGATGGACTCAGCGGCCTGTGCATGCCAGAGGAGACAGCTGATGCTGAGGGTCCCGTAGAAGCCCATGAGGTGGGACCCATTCCCTGCTGCTAAAATGCCTCTGAATGGGTGGGGCAGAACCTGATGTTTCTTCAGACCAGACGGTCTGAAATGTCCACAGAGAGGGTAGAATCAGGAAGGACTGGATCTAAAGAACCCACAGAAAGCATCCAACTGTCTGTTAATGTTTTACAGACTGTCTGTTTACAGAGGAACAGCTAACACATGACCTTGGTCCTGCTGTTGACTGGAGAGCAAAGTATCTGTGAGAACTAAAACGTTCAACACATCTACCCAAACAACCAGCAACCTTATCCATCAGTGGTATGCAAATGTGTACATTTAAGGCCTAAACAACTTGTGACCTGCAAAGGCAAAAATGTTGAAGTAAAATCCATTTCCTCCCTCATTTTAGAAACACTGCAACTCATAAAAAAACACTTCCACAGGGTGGATTTAACAGCTATAATGACATACACTAAAGTTTGTAAGAAACAAATTATTTTATTAAGCAGGGACGTATTAAACTCATCAAAAGAGACTGTAAAGACCTTCCAAATGTTACAAAACATTTCTAATTTAAATATTTTTTTTTATATTAAACAGCTTTATTAAAGCAGCACTGTTTTCAATATAAAAAATAATAAGAAATGTTTTTGAGTACTTGATTACTGAAGGATCATGTGACACTGAATGGCTGCAGAAAATTCAGCTTTGCATCACAGGAATAAATTCGATTTTAACATATTTAAAAATAAAACCCTTTTATTTTAACTTGCAATAATTTTTCACAGTTTTTACTATATTTTTATCAAATAAATGTTACCTTGGTGAGCATAAAAGACTTTCACTTTTGGACTGTAGTGAACATATCCAAATCATTTTAAATGTGCATGCCGAAAAACCATGCTATTTAAGTACATGACCAAAAATATGTTATTTCCAAAGCACACGTCCAAAATCATGGTAGTATACCTAGCTACCTTTGCAAAAAAATCAGACCCACTTTATGCTGCACATACCATAGCAGGATTTCAGCAACATCTGAACCCATTTTAGCATATTAAAAAAAATAACATAAAAAAAAAACATATTCTGGGCTGAAACCAAGCACTGCTGATGTCCTGAAGTAGTCTGAGTCTAATAAACCTCAAGTGATGTACGGATGTGTATTAACACTTGTCTGACACCAGTCCTCCCTGCTGAAGAGCACGTTGGATTAATCATATCACACGACGGGGATCCTGTCTCTCTGTACAGGACATTCCCTCTGGCTTCGCCTGCCGACAAGACTTCAGACAGACACTCCTCCCAACGAGTTCAAAGCGAGGGGAAATCAGCCAGCATTCAGAGCTCAGCGGGGGGCTCAGTGGAGGTACATCACAGCCTGTTCTTCTGCTCAACATCTGTCAGTGTTGTGGAAAGGAATGGACACATCTCACGTCATCGGTCCCCATGTAACTCTTTTGATGATGGGATCAGAATAAAAATACCAAATATACTGTCGTCATCAAACATCAAGGTATTTCAACAGATGCTAAAGGAAAGCAACAGAGATTCATATCGTAAGCTTAATGGAATCCTCAAGCATTACTAATTTTTGCAAATTAAAGTGTTCTAATATTGTTCAAGTATATATTCCTTATTCTTCAACATTTCAAATGTTTTGTACTTATAAAGTGTCACAAAACAAATGCTGACTGTTGTGTTAAAGGGGTAGTTCACCAAAAAATTTAAATTCTGTCATTAATTACTCAACCTCATGTTGTTCCACCCCAGTAAGACCTTCGTTCATCTTCGGAACACAAATTAAGATATTTTTGATGAAATGTGAGAGCTTTCTGACTCTCCATAGACAGCAATGCAACTACCACGTTCAAGTCCCAGAAAGGGAGTAAGGACATCGTTAAACTAGTCCATGTGACATCAGTGGTTCAACCGTAATTTTATGAAGCAACAAGAATGCTTTTTGTGCAAAAAGAAAATTTCTTCTCTTTCGTGTCAACCTTTACTGTGGTACTCTTGTGAATGCATGGTGGAGACTGACACATAAGATGGTGGGATGTTGCATTGCTGTCTATACAGGGTCAGAAAGCTCTCGGATTTAATCAAAAATATCTTAATTAGTGTTCCGAAGATGAATGAAGGTCTTATGGGTTTGGAACCACATGAGGGTGAGTAATTAATTACAGAATTTTCATTGTTGGGTGAACAAACCCTTTAAGTCCTTAGCTTAGCAACATGCTAACTTCAGACTCTATTGGAATACCATTGTGACCATTAATAGAGTTGTTGCCCAAGTATCAGTAACTACAAAGTTTTTATTTTAGTTAGAACGATACCTTATAAAAAAAAGTTGAATACGTAGGGAGCACTTTAGAACAGACCTACTGAATAAAAACAAGTGGCACACAGGCAGCAGTCACAATTCAATTACAATTATAAGTAAATAAGTGTGTTCAAAACACTTAGGCGTGCACACCACTCTCACCAATAATGTTTCTCTCCACCAGCTTTCCCAGACACCCTTTCCCCCCATCCAAAGAACAACAGTTAAGAAGTGTAGCAGAAATACTTGTATTTGGATGTTTTGGAGGCTACGGCTGAGGTAAAGAGTGGAATGAGATCTTGATGTTTGCTCTGCCAATGATCGCACAACACTTGGGAAACAGGGAAGAATGAAACTGGTTCGAGCATGTAGCAAAAAGTCAATCAAAACATAAAGGTCTTGCACAACAAGGGTTCAAAGAAGGCAAGTTCCTGATGGTAAACCACAGACATGTGTGCCAAAAAATGGTGGGAACACCTCCATTAATTGACACATGGTGCAGGACATATTATAACACAAGGACAAGAATATACTAACAAAACAAATCTTTAAATCTTCACAAATACCAAATTATGTGTAAAAAAATAATACAATAAGTGAAACCAACAGTCTAACAATTATCGAATGATTAAAACCAACCTGAGGCATTGACAGCCCTGAGAAACATCCTCCCAAACACACTAATTTGCTTTTTCATATGCAAAGAAGCAAAACACATGCTTAACCACATAAGATGGAGTCCTTGGAGAAACTCAATTCCTCTCGAGAAATGAACAAAGGGACGTTGATGAGATTAGCATGGCCCCTTGGCTGACCGAAAGGGTTCTTAAATGGGCATTCAGACGAGGGAGCTCCGGGTCATTTCTGGAAGGCCATGAAAAAGCTGAGGTCACATGAGTGGAGGAATTGCCCAATTAACAGCAAGGTCACCGCAGACAGAGCCGGCCTTTCACCAAAGGAACGCTCCGCGAAGCCAAGAAGGGCTAATTCCTAGGTGACATACACCAGGGATGTGACATGGTGGCATGTGAAGAATTTTAAGAGATGAAGAATATGAAGAAATTCTTGACATTTTGTTGGAGTAAAATGATGGGAATTGATCAATGATATTACTTTACAAAGCAAAACGAGAAGCTCTGAATGTACACATGGACCATGAGGAGAAATTATTACTCAGCAAGGATGCATTAAATTAATCAAAAGTGACAGTAAAGACGTTGATAATGTTACAAAAGATTTCTATTTCTATACTTTTTTATTCTTTAAAGAATGTATCGTAT